GTACTTAATAAGATATGTTATTTGTCAAAAAAGCTTTTGATTAAATGATTGCTCACCTCTTGGGATGAAAATGCATGAGATGATTGTTGATGTGACATTGGCCGAACAGTGGGATGACTACTAAGTGAATCCACAACCTATCATTCAATAAGAGGCTTAAGTTGTATATTAGCGCTAGGCAATTTAAAGTAATAACTAGTAAAAATAACTAAAATACCTGCTGCCTATGTAATGGGTTTGATGGTGCAACAACTGGATCAACGGGCACGCTTGCAGCTTGCAATTGAGATTCCAAAAACTGAATTCATGACTGAAAATCTGTGCGTATAGCCTAAATTTGTTTCTCCATTACTTCATTCATCTTCGACTCGAACTACATTTGATACCGTTGAAGTTGCTCTTGAACTTGTTCCTGAACTTGAGTTTCAAAGAGACGACTCTGCTCTTGTGACCGCCTATATCCACCTCCAAAAACATCAATGGGTGACGGTCCCAATCCAAACATCCGAACACGGCCAGGTCGCTCTGGGCCCATAACTTGTGTGAAGATTTGCTCCTGTAATGCTGCAAGGTCAGTAGAAGATCGCTCCATGTGCTCTGTTAACTCATTCATTTGAGTTTGCAAGTTTGAATTCAATAATTAGCCTCCAATATAAATATAAATCATATTAAAAGTCCAAAGATAAAGTAGTATCACATACCATAACCTCATTAACTAAATCACTATTTGACGTCCTATCTTTCATGTATGCGGCCATCCACACCTGTGACCGACTAGCAGGAACCCCATTGTTCTTTTTTGTCTCCTATAAATGAAAGACAACCAAAATCTTAAGATAAATAAGAACCAAAGTTTCCATTTAATACTTTGAATGTCTTAGTTTTTAATGCATTATTTCATATTTCTTCACTACATAAAATGAAGAAGAATCTGCAATACATAAGATAAAACTGTCCTAAATACACTGATCACATATATACCTCCAGTTGAACTACTGAGAAAGGCTTTCGGCCTGTTCTATGATATAATGTCTTCTTCTTCCGGATTTTTCTATTCTTCTTCCTTGATTTTTGTCAAATATGAAATTTATTTAAGATGTTATAAAAAATTATCATATATAAATATTTTTTCACATAAATAAAATTTTACCGATGCACTCTGAGTGCCTCAATAGTAGACCAAAGCCCGCCACTAATCCTCTTGTACTCTATCTGGTCGATGAGCCAACCGTTCTGCATCATTCTTGAAGGGTTTGTATCCCATTGTTTTCACTCGACCAATCTCTCCATTTCTTTCCAAATGAAGCCATTATTGTTCTTTTCATGGATTCATCTGCATCCGTATGAGCCTACATTACAATTATATACACTTGTAATATGCAATGTCAACTAAACTTGTAATATGCATTTAATATGGAATACAATTATAACTTATTTCATATTAAATATCCATATACACCTTTATCTCCCTCCATATGTTATCTTTCTTTTGTTTTCGAACATAATGCCAAGTGGTAAAAGTGAGTGGTGCAAGACTCCCATCTCGTGCCAAAACGCCCAAATGTGAAGCAAGGGGTGTGTGTCCTTCAACTACTTGATTCAACTCATTTGGAACAACTTTTAAAATGCCATCTTCACTAGTACCCCATTGACCATGCACATATGTGGGACCCCTTGTCTGCTTTTGTGTGGCTTGACTTGAGCTAGGACCTACAAAACAATAGTAATAAGCTTCATATCAGTTTCTTTATGATCCAGAATATTCCTTGTAAATATTCTTTAACTTGTGTGATATATATACCAGATGTTATATTGACAGATAGCCAATATGAAGAGCTGTAATAAGTTTTGAACTTGCCTTCTCCAAGTACGAAATTTAGAAGATTCATATTGTGAAGCTTGCAGCTATCTAAAGATTTTTTTTTACTCGTCTGTTTCTATTGTTGCCAATTATGGTTTTCAAGTTTATTTTTTTCGCTCTAGCTAGAATGTTTTCACGTAGTATCTTCTGATATATAAAAATGTCTACTGTTTATTCTTGAAATGTCAGCATATGCATAGATCTAAGTGCTTCGTGTTAAAATTAATGTAGAATCAAGGGCATTTAAGTCATCCTATATTGTCTTTAAAATTATAAACTGTTTCATTTATCAAATTGTTGTTAATTATATGCATGAGAACTCCCTATTGTTCATGAGGGATTTAGAGAGGTTTCTTTCTGAAATCAATTCGTAAACTTTGTGGCTTTTTCGTTTGAAACCTATAACCATGTGATGTTCAAACAACATCTGGCATGTGTGCTTGAGATGTAGATACATACTTCTTAAGACATTTCAGCAATGAAATTATTAACGGTGGACAGCTGAAATCAGTGGTACAATACTAAGAATGTTTTTGATAGAGACCTTTTGTGGGTTTAATAGTGCATTGTTTATTTATTTTTTCGCTCTAGCTAGAATGTTTTCACGTAGTATCTTCTGATATATAAAAATGTCTACTGTTTATTCTTGAAATGTCAGCATATGCATAGATCTAAGTGCTTCGTGTTAAAATTAATGTAGAATCAAGGGCATTTAAGTCATCCTATATTGTCTTTAAAATTATAAACTGTTTCATTTATCAAATTGTTGTTAATTATATGCATGAGAACTCCCTATTGTTCATGAGGGATTTAGAGAGGTTTCTTTCTGAAATCAATTCGTAAACTTTGTGGCTTTTTCGTTTGAAACCTATAACCATGTGATGTTCAAACAACATCTGGCATGTGTGCTTGAGATGTAGATACATACTTCTTAAGACATTTCAGCAATGAAATTATTAACGGTGGACAGCTGAAATCAGTGGTACAATACTAAGAATGTTTTTGATAGAGACCTTTTGTGGGTTTAATAGTGCATTGTTTATTTATTTTTTCGCTCTAGCTAGAATGTTTTTTGCTCTAGCTATAGTTTTCTCTTAATATGGAGTAAAAAAGGCTCAAATAATGCAGTCAACCAATGTCATGAGGGACCCATATCAAGTAGCTAAACCCTTGTTACTAGAAAAATATAACAAGTACCTCTGGCCTTTGGCCTTTGATGGGTTTTCAAAAAAAAAAAAACAAATTGATTTTCAAATATAATTTCACTTTTTGTTTGGTTATAATGAAAAATACAGGAAAAAAAATAGATAGGACTACAGATCTAACTCAAAAACACCATAAGAAAATATCAAGCAAAGTTTATACATACCAGCTGAAATAGAGCCATGTGATGTACTACCGCTACGTGATGTGGTAGGAAGCCTGCCTGGTGGATGCCATGATGCCGGTGGATCAGGTATGACTTTCATCTTGAGTGTGGTCTGAGTCTCATCTGAACTAGAACTACTAGAGCTTGATTGCTCACTTTCACTAGAAGAATGGTTAGAGCAAGAACTCATAGATAATATCTATAAAAAAACTACAAACATAAGAGTAAGGACATAATAATCTATAAATATCTATTGCATTCAAAAGAAAATAAGAGTACATGAAAGGTAAAAATGGTCATTTAAAGAAAACTGCAAAGGTACAAAAGCAAAGATTTTATTAATATGAATATCCATACAAATGTAAAAGTGAATATGCGGCCAATTACAATATCATATTAGTTCTTCGTCATCTTCAAATTGTGCCTCTGTCGATACTTCAAGAGGTCCAATAGTTTCATCAACATTTGTTCCATCAATACCTTGCCTAACCCAATCCATGTCCTCCTCACAAGTGAAGGAAGCTACATCTAACTCTTGATCACCAAATCCTTCCACTTCGTTGTGATGTAGTCCTTCATCAATAGTTGGTTGTTCTCCACACACCTCATACAAGTCTCTAGGTTTCATCTTGAGTACAACATTCCAATCTTCATCAACAGAATCATTAACATAAAAGACTTGTTGTGCTTGAGATGCTAGGATGAATGGCTCATCACTGTCTTGTTTCTTCGCATATAACAAGTGATTAAAATTAACAAGTGTAAAACCAAAATCATCCTGCTTGAGTCCCTTATTGTTATCAATCCAGTTACACATGAATAACATGTATCTATGGTCGTGTGAGTAATACAATTCAATAATATCTGTCACATATCCATAGTACGCTACATCACCTTCCACTGGATTAATGTCTTTCGCACTTGCATAGCTAGAAGTCTTTGCCTTCACCATAACCCCACTATTCTGAGTTTTTCTTCTCAACTCACAACTCTTAGTATGATACCTAGTACCATTAATTATATACCCATTAAATCTGGTGGCCTTTTGGCTGGGTCCCAAAGCCAAAATTTTAATCTCTTCTAACAACGTTACATTTTCAGTAGCTAATAGCTCGGCAACCTATTTTTCAAAGACATTTATCAATATTAAACATCAATTAACAACTTCAAAAACATAGAAGCACATGGATTGCAAAAATATAGAAGACTTGTGCTTAACATGCACTTACATGAGAATTGAACCATTTGGGAAACTCATCATTGTGACGACGATCCACATCATAATCTCTGAGACGACGATGTGACCGCTTAATAAATTCACGATGTTCCCTACACAATTAAACTACTTGTAAAATGCACGATAATTATAGTTGGTATAAATACATTCACAACGAGACAAAGGCTGCATCTATCTTACTCTCGATATGGGACAACCGCAACAATGTTAAATAACATATACCAATGAGTCTGTACCCATGTTGTGTTATCAAGAACAAACCCTTTTCCTTTTCCTAAAGCCCGCCCCATTAATATCTCAGGATTGTCACTAACATCGCAATTCCTTAACGGTCGATGCAATTTCGACTCAACATCATGCAAGTTCCTTGAGCAAAATGTCATACATTCTTCGTCCAAGTATCCCTGTGCAATTGAACCTTCAGGATGACTTCGATTACGCATGCATGATTTAAGTGTCATAAGGTACCTATAAACAAAAAGATGCATACATGACTTCCAAGTATAAACAATCAAATATATACAAAATGGACATTAAAGTAGAATTACACACCTTTCAACAAAGTACATCCATCGATATTGCACCGGACCGGCAATCTTTGCTTCATCTGCTAGGTGAATGGGTAAGTGCTCCATTATATCAAAAAATGATGGAGGAAAAATTCTCTCAAGATGGCAAAGTGTAAGAGCGATTTGGGACTGAAGACGATTTAGACCATCCACGTCTAGGGTTTTGAAACACAACTTCCTGAAGAAATTGCTTAACTCAATTAATGGTTCAACCACTTTCTTCGGTAACAAATTTCTCACTGCTATTGGAAGTATTTGTTGCATGAGTATATGGTTATCATGACTTTTCAGTCCAGATATGCTACGCTGTTTGAGGTTAACCCGACGAGAAATATTAGATGCGTAACCATCTGGAACTTTGATATTCTTTAGAAGTGTGCAGAATAGATTTTTCTCTCTATTGTTCATGGCAAAACATGCAGAAGGCAAATAATACTTGTACCCAACCCTTTTCTGAGGATGTAGTGCCTTCCGAATTCCCATTTCTTGCAAATCTCGACGAGTATTTAAATTGTCCTTCCCTTTCCCATCAACATTTAATATCGTCCACAACACATTATCACACACGTTCTTTTCAATGTGCATCACATCAAGATCGCGGCGAATCAAATTATGCTCCCAATATGATAGCTCAAAGAAAATACTCTTCTTTTTCCAATAATGACCCGAGTCCTCATTTTCCTCCTTTTCTTTCCCCTTTCTATTCCGTTTGCTAGATTGTTGATGCTTAGAATTCAATTTGAACTTAGGGCCTAGTTGTTGTAGCACATTAGCCCCTGATAACCGAGTTGGGCATGGTTCGAATTCACGAGTGCCATCAAAAGACGCACTAGCTTTCCAAAATTTGTGACCCCCATTCAACCAGCGACGATGCCCCATGTAACATAATTTCCTTCCGTTCTTCAAATATCGAGAACGAGTATGTGTGTTACAACAAGGACAAGCTAAAGCGCCTTTTGTGCTCCATCCAGACAAAATTGCATAGGCAGGAAAATCATTTATAGTCCACAATAACACAGCATGCATTCGGAACATCTGATTAGTTTCCGCATCATACGTGTCAACACCATTTTCCCATAGTTCTTTCAATTCATCCACTACAAGGTGTAAGTAGACGTCAATATTATTTCCAAGCGAAGAAGGACCATCGATGAGCAATGTCATCATCATATGAGGCTGCTTCATACACAACCATGGTGGCAAATTGTATGGCATTATAATAACTGGCCAACTGCTATGAGAGACATTCATTGCCTTGAATGGATTGAATCCATCCGCTGTTAAACCCAGTCTGACATTGCGAGGCTCACTCGCAAACTTGGGATACAAATTATCAAAATTTTTCCAAACTGGAGAGTCAGCGGGATGTCTCATTTTGCCGTCATCAATTCGGCCCTCTGCATGCCATCTCATTAAAGAAGATGTTTTGGATGACATAAACAATCTTTGAAGCCTTGGAATCAATGGAAAGTATCTAACAATCTTATGTGGAATTCTTTGTTGCTTCTTCTTAACATCATTCTCCTCCCCCTCGAACTGTTTGTATCTAGGCATATGACACACTATGCAATCATCCATACCAGCTGCTTCCTTCCGATATAGTGAGCAATCCCTTGGGCATGCATGTACCTTATGATAATCGAGGCTCAAGTCCCTAAGAAGTTTCCTAGTTGCATAAAATGACTTCGGCAAAGTTTCACCCTTTGGGAACGAATCCTTCAAAAGCTTGAGCAACATCGTGAAAGACTTGTCACTCCATCCACTAAGGCACTTGATGTGCAATAACCGAACAATAAATGAAAGCGTTGAAAACTTCTGACACTCAAGATACAACTCTCTTTCGGCCTTTTTCAATAAATTGAAGAATTTTTCGGTTTTCTCATCCGGACCTTGTCTAATACCAGAACTTGCTACCTCGTGAATAAAGCTTCGTGGAGGAAGTCCAAATCCTTCGTATAGCATTTCATACGTTTCATCACCATCGTTCGAATCAGTTTGCCCAACATTCACATTGTGTGGCACAGGCGATGACAAATTCTCCCTATGAAAAATCCAACTGGTGTAACTTGGAAGAAACCCATTGATCATTAAATGTTCCCCTAACAGGCCTTTCTCCACCAATTTGACATTACGACACCGTTTACATGGGCATGTGACTTCATTCAACAACGGCTTATTTTCGCATGCAAATTTAATAAATTCCTTAACCCCTTGTATGTATTCCGGGTGCAACCTATGTTGATTTAGCCAACTTTTATCCATCTAATTCTCTTTTACACTACAAATGTCACTGCCAAATCAACAAAGTTCAAAATTATCATTCCATTTTAATTAATCTTAACCTCAATTAAGTACCTTATAATGCATGCAATATGACATCATTCACCTCTAACTGGTCTCTAATATGTTGGTTCATCCTACTTTCCCATTCAGGAATGCACAGTCTATATTGTAAAAAG